ACCATCACTTTAGGTCCTGAGTGCAGGGACTGGCCAGCTGGTGCTGCAGAATCAGAGGCTCGACAAATGTTTCATGACAATCTCCACCCAGGTGATGTGATTATCTACACAGATGGCTCTGTGTAGAGGGGCAGATGAAGTGCATGGGAATTCATTGTAAAAGCAAATGGATGTCGCTTAGTAGTAACCCGTAAGTGCTCCGTTCTACTTCTAACTCAAGTCTGAGTCCGAAGAAGCTGCACATAGTGCACAGGCTCTGTGGCACCGGCAAGGATCCTGGAATACTTTGGGTAGATTTTTAACTCCAGATTTGCCCAGGCAGAGCCGTTTGGCTACTCTTTTCGATTTCCAACTGCCAAGAGATTTTTTACGTGCGCAACAATACACATGGGCGTCCAATCTCACTACCCATAGACGCAGGGAATTACTAGCAGTCCAAGTCCACGTGAAAAAATCCCACCCCATGCTGGGGATTGAACCCAGAACCTTAGCACTTGAGGCGGACACCATACCTCAAGACCATGTAGCCCCCTACAGTTCTAACCATTAAAAGCAGAACAGAAGAGATAACTAGATAAGCCTGTGGTACTGTCACTGGCACGGCTCTCCTTCTGGCCCCAACACTCCCGTCCCGCACCAACCCTCGTCACCCCCCGCCCAACCAGAGCTTAACATTTTGGGTCAGAATCAGCAAATCAGAGATTGACCTCTTCTATTATGTCAGAGTTCGCAAATCAGAACTTTATTTCTTGTGTCAAAGTAAGAAGATCAGAGATTATTATTTTGTGTCAGAAAAAAGAAATCAAAGCTTGACTTCTTGTATTAGTTCAGAATCAGTAAATCAAGAACTGTATGTCAGATTCAAGAAATCAGTTCTTCACTTCTTGTATTACATCAGAATCAGTAAATCAAGAACTGTATGTCAGATTCAAGAAATCAGTTCTTCACTTCTTGTCTTATGTCAGAACAAAAAATCAAAGCTTAACTCACTGAAGCAGGGACAGTTAATCAAAGCTTAACTCACTGAAGCAGGGACAGTTAATCAAAGCTTAACTCACTGAAGCAGGGACAGTTAATCAAAGCTTAACTCACTGAAGCAGGGACAGTTAATCAAAGCTTAACTCACTGAAGCAGGGACAGTTAATCAAAGCTTAACTCACTGAAGCAGGGACAGTTAATCAAAGCTTAACTCACTGAAGCAGGGACAGTTAATCAAAGCTTAACTCACTGAAGCAGGGACAGTTAATCAAAGCTTAACTCACTGAAGCAGGGACAGTTAAATCAAAGCTTAACTCACTGAAGCAGGGACAGTTTAATCAAAGCTTAACTCACTGAAGCAGGGACAGTTAATCAAAGCTTAACTCACTGAAGCAGGGACAGTTAATCAAAGCTTAACTCACTGAAGCAGGGACAGTTAATCAAAGCTTAACTCACTGAAGCAGGGACAGTTAATCAAAGCTTAACTCACTGAAGCAGGGACAGTTAATCAAAGCTTAACTCACTGAAGCAGGGACAGTTAATCAAAGCTTAACTCACTGAAGCAGGGACAGTTAATCAAAGCTTAACTCACTGAAGCAGGGACAGTTAATCAAAGCTTAACTCACTGAAGCAGGGACAGTTAATCAAAGCTTAACTCACTGAAGCAGGGACAGTTAATCAAAGCTTAACTCACTGAAGCAGGGACAGTTAATCAAAGCTTAACTCACTGAAAAGCAGGGACAGTTAATCAAAGCTTAACTCACTGAAGCAGGGACAGTTAATCAAAGCTTAACTCACTGAAGCAGGGACAGTTAATCAAAGCTTAACTCACTGAAGCAGGGACAGTTAATCAAAGCTTAACTCACTGAAGCAGGGACAGTTAATCAAGCAGGACAGCTTAACTCACTGAAGCAGGGACAGTTAATCAAAGCTTAACTCACTGAAGCAGGACAGTTAATCAAAGCTTAACTCACTGAAGCAGGGACAGTTTAATCAAAGCTTAACTCACTGAAGCAGGGACAGTTAATCAAAGCTAACTCACTAAAGCAGGGGGACACGTTAATCAAAGCTTAAACTCACTGAAGCAGGGACAGTTAATCAAGCTTTAACTCACTGAAGCAGGGACAGTTAATCAAAGCTTAACTCACTGAAGCAGGGACAGCTAATCAAAGCTTAACTCACTGAAGCAGGGACAGTTAATCAAAGCTTAACTCACTGAAGCAGGGACAGTTAATCAAAGCTTAAACTCACTGAAGCAGGGACAGTTAATCAAAGCTTAACTCACTGAAGCAGGGACAGTTAATCAAGCTTACTGAAGCAGGACAGTTAATCAAAGCTTAAACTCACTGAAGCAGGGACAGTTAATCAAAGCCTAATCTTTTTGACAGCTTCTAAAGAGTCCAACCCTATATTCCAAATATGCCTAATGGCATGAAAAAATGGTCTATACATTATTATTGCTACTATTTTTACAATTATTATTACATACTTAAACAAGACTTGTCTCTCTTGAGTCCTGAAAATATGTAAGGAGTCTTTGTGCCTTCTTGCCTCCTAAGGCCCCCCTCCCACCTACCCGCCAATGTTTCATTTATGTCAGTGCCCCATGTTGTCAAACGAATAAACTGTTATTTGTACAAACAATATTTTGCTCACATATGCCTCTATTGTTACCTCAGAGACGGGTTGACGTTCTCAAGATGGACGTAGAAGGTTATGAACTTGAATCTCTGATGGCAGCATTAGATGAAGGCAGTTTGTCAGACGTCCGGCAGCTGTCTTTTGAGACCCATGTTGCTTGGGGAAAGTTTGACCCTACCAAAGAAGAGTATATCCGGGTAAAGAGCTTCAAACAAGTCACTTCATTACTTTATCCATTTATGAATTTGTTAATTGCTGGAAATTACTTCTTTGCTTTATCTTTTTGACTTAGTGAAATGCTTGAACCCTTTCAAAAAAAAAAATTATGGATGCAAAATCATAACAAAAGAGATGAGGTATCTTAGATTAGCTGCAGAAGAAGCAAGAAAAGGTGTAATGTACAGCCTTCAGGAAATGAAGACCAGTTTATATAACACATTGGAAAGAGCACCCAGACAATCCTTACATCTTCTTCCAGTGCTTAGATGAAGTAAACAGAGAAACAGAAGAAGAAGAACAAATGCTTGAAAAATATTTCAGAAATCTCCAAACACTTCTTCGAGTTCACTGGCTGTAAACTCCAGCAGAAAGTTCTGGTTGATCATCCATCTCTGGACTATAGACTTGTTCCAGAACCTGAGTGTTAAGTGCACATTCGTTTTAAAGATCTGACTTATCTGTATGCAGACTATTAGTTCCTTGCCTCTCAGGCTGCTGCAGTTTGTCTTCTAAGGAAAACCCCAATTAGTTGACTCCTATGACTGTCCATACGTCAGGTCTTGGTCAGATAGGACTGAGCTTCTGTATAACAGTAGCCGGTACCACCTGTCTTCTGTTACGCTGAATGTTGGGCGGCATATACTAACCCAACATCCCATATTGTGCCAACGGCTTCGGGCGGAGGAGCACATTGGGGAGGATACTAGCCTTGCGTTATGGCAGGGCAGACCAGGCCCTTCGCCTTGGCTAGCAGCTGGTGTAGGAGGGAAGCTCTGACAGGTGGACAGATAGAGCACTGCTCTTCTGATCCGGCAGCTTCTGCAACCTGTCTCGTTCCAAACGTACTGGTTTTACCTTTCCTTTGGAGTAAACAGGTTGAGGGAGGGATCATTATGCATGGGTAACATATGGTCTCTACAATACTGCCCAGGCTTTGTGCCATGGAGATGAGGAATTTCATCCCTGGCCTTAATCGGTCTCAATCGCCATGGGTTGTTTGGAGAGGGAGGCATAATTATCCATTCATTTCCCAAATTAATGCCATGTGCAGATGACACAACTTTCAAACGGCGTAAAGGGAATCGAAAATTTAATATTGTCTGTCCAAAAGCACAGTGAAGATCAAAATCTGTTCTTGAATTTAAAGAAAACGAAAATAATGTCCACAGATGAAACTGGCTGTCACCCAAAAATAACAATAAATGATAAATAAATTGAAAATGTCACAAACTTTGAATATCTAGGCTCTATAAAAAACAACAATGGAGACTGTTGGACAGAAATTAAAAGGAGGATTGCCATAGCAATGCAAAGATTAAACAGCCCTAAAAGTCTATGGTTAAGCACCAGCAAGGGGATACAAATTGGAATTTTGAGAGCATGCATCTTCCCTGTGGCTTCATACGGATGTGAGTCGTGGACTATCTCTCAGTCCTTAAGAAAGAGAATAGAGGCTTTTGAGCTGAAATGCTATAGAAAGATTCTCAGAATATTTTGGACAAAGAAGATGAGAAATATTGACATCCTAAAAGATCTGAACATCAAGGAAAATATGGGCACAGGATATAAGTGGACTCCTTGAGTGTGAAAGTGCATGAGGCGGGAGAACTGGGGAGAGACCGAGTTTCTTTCAGGCAGACTGTGATGAGAGCAACATTCTGCAAAGGACCTACTACATGATGATGATAAAGGCGGCAAACATGTTCAGTGGCAGCCAGTGCAGAGTTCCAGTACCAGCGTTGTCAGTAGCATTCTGATTATACATCCATCTTGCCTTTCCTCTGAGTGTCAAGTGTTGGCCAGATCCCCTCGTCACTCCCTGCAGCATCACTCTTACAGTTTGTGGTGATCCATTCGCTCCTCTGAATTGTACACATTCTCCCACAAGGCCCTGACCGTGTGTCAGAAATAAATGAAATGGCAGACCAATTTAAACCAGTATTTGGCAAATGTCTGTGCTCTGTGATTGAAAATTAGAGCAAATCTGTTAGAAATCTAGGGGGGGGGGGGGGGGGGGGGGGGGGGGGGGGAGGGGGGAGACAGGCAGACATATAGACTGATAGACTAAAATGAAAAACCACTGTTGGTTAACGATAATATTTCTTTCTTTTTCCAGTTCTTGGATGTGCTCAAAAAGTATATGAAAAAGGATTTCGCATATACCTCACACATAGAAACTACGTCTACAGTGCTTTTGACAGCTTGTTAGTAAAAGGGAAGAAACGAGCACATTGTCACGAGGTTCATACGGTTAATATTAATTTAAAAAACTCTGTTAACCCTGATGGGTCCATTGCTGGTGATAATGCAGTGAGCCAAGATAAGAGAAAAGAGAGAATTAATCAGCAGAGGCAGTTACTGTCACAAGAACAAATTTGGTATTCCAAGCGACAGTTAAAGAGGCAACAGAGAATTCAAGCAAATGCCCCTCAGTTCCAAGGACAGCCACCAGTACAAGCTCAGAACAAAGCTTGGATTTAGTCATTTTTTTGTTTGTTTTTAAATTTAGACATATTGTTATGGTTGTTATAAGATGCTGCAGGATATGTCATTGTTGCATTTCAACTGTTGTTCAGGTATAACTATAACCAGGGATTGTTTTTTCCCCTGTGGTACGCAAAGATGCACAGTATTGGCACCTTTTTATGCATCATTTTGTCAGTACTACTGAAAAAAATAATTTATTATGAATAGTAGCACCTTTTTAAAGACATTTTTGGTGAGTATCAGTGCCATTATTCCAGGAGAAAAGCCTTGACTGGAACACAACGGTCATCTTGTGACTTGTCTTGAATATCAAATGTTGCAGTACCAAACAGTTCATCAAAGATAATGTTTTTGCTGTATTGTCATGGACAGATATCAACATCGGTGAATCTCAATTATTAGTTTATCTAAAAGGTAAAGGTACAGTCAGGAGATGTGAACCAGCGTCACTGCACAGGGTTATAAACAATAAGTCCTCTGCCACCAGTACAGACAGCTGATAGGAATGGTCCGCCTGTGTCGCCTTTCACACGTAACTCTGTAGCTACAGCGACGTTCTTCCATTTACCCCAGAGTGTCCGGTTTCGAACACCGACCATGGGCTGCAGCGAGTCGCAGCTGGATTTGAAAGCAAGTCTCCTATCGACTGCGCAAACGTGGCCCCCTATTAGTTTAACTGCAGTTTTGAAGTGCCTCTGTTAAACTACTTCAGGCCTAAATCTTAATTGCTTTTAACTCAAATCCTTTGAAAAGAAAGGGTTGAAGCGACAACTGATTGGTGCTGAAGGATAAACTCATGATATCACCGCGTAATGGCCATAACTTTTGCATTTATAGTAGTCATTGAATGAGTCAGTGAAGAATGAGAAATAACAGTCCAATTTATATTTTACTTACCATCAGTTACTTGCATCATAAGGGCTGATAGAATTGAAATGTTGGGATATATAGAGGAAAGGACATATAACAGACAGACACAAATTGCCTACATAAAAGAGCTGAATGGGAGCAGATAACTGGGCAGATGAGGAAAACAGTTGAGAGATAACATTCAGGCCGATCTAGTAACAGTTGGAGTTACCAGCTAGAAAGAAAAGGTCAAGCACAGAGATAAATGGAAATGTTTGATATCTGCAGCAAAGAACTTCAAGGGCTTAGAATGCTGAAGGAACAGAAAAAGTGGAAGATTTTGTAAATCGAATATACCATTTGTGGGGAAACTCTGGAGGTCAGTGAAATAACATGAAAAGTAATATCACACATATTGATTGTCACTGTCTATAAGTAGAGGAAGGGGGCAGCGTTAGTGCAGTCAATAAGAGGCTCGCTTTTAAATCGAGCTGTGATTCCCTGCAGCCGGTGTTCGAAACCGGGCCGTTCCCGGGGTTCCCCCAGCCTCTAGGAAATGGGTACCAGAGTTGACACTCTGGGGTAAATGGAGGAACGTCGCTGTAGCTACGAGGTTGCATGCGAATGGCGACACAGGCAGACAATTCTTATCAGCTGTCCGTACTGGTGGCAGAGCACTTATGGTTTATAACCATGTGCAATGACGCTGGTTCACATCTTCCGACTTTACCTTACTTTGAGTAGAGGAAATGAGTAGAGATTATAAAAAAAGCTAGATAAATGTTCTTCAGTCATTTTATACTCGTGAACTGGATAATATCAGACATTTTTTGTCTTTGTTGCTAACAGCTAAGGCCAAAACGAAAACAAATGTATACATTTTGTGACGTCTCAAAAAAAAAAATGAGGTTATCTGCGATGCTCCCAATGCTTGCCATCTTTGAGAATATTACAAGGTTAAGTCCTAACCTCTTTTATGGTGTGGCTGTCTCACCACTGTCTACGAGCCAAAGGTCTTTTTAAAACAACAGGCCACAAAAATTAAACTCAGTACATCGAAGATTGGTTTATAAAAAGAGTTCAGTAACCTCTAAGCCACATTAATTCTAAATAGCATATTATGTTTTAAATCTAATTATAACATTACAATTGTTAGCTAATGCAACATCTGCTGCTTGAAGGTTTGATAATCTGATGTATGTAACTGAAGTTGTTTGTGAGAGATGAAGTGCTGCAACAACAACAAAATCTGTTCAATTTATCTTTTTTTTTTTTTAAACATAGTTTATGCTTCTGGCGCTACAGAAGAGGCAGAGTCTCATTTGTTAACACCAGTGTAGTGTCAGAAGATGTCGCCATCATACAATTGAGCGGCCCACCACCAGGACATGTCTGCGGGCCAGCAGTGGTCTGCAGACCACAAGCTGAAGAACACTGTACTAGATGATGTAAAAATTAATACTACAGTCACCATACAAGGATTGAAAGCTGTTGCCTCAAATTGCTAGGATAAAGAAACAAACCTAGTTTGGCATATGGCTGCTGTGAACTAAGATCTTCTAGTCACATTGTCGCTGTGAACTAATATCTTCTAGACACATGACTGCTGTGAACTAAGATCTTCTAGTCAACATGGCTGCTGTGAGCTAAGATCTTCTAGTCACATGGCTACTGTGAACTAAGATCTTCTAGACACATGGCTGTTGTGAGCTAAGATCTTCTAGTCACATTGTCACTGTGAACTAATATCTTCTAGGCACATGACTGCTGTGAACTAAGATCTTTTAGTCACATGGCTGCTGTGAACTAAGATCTTCTAGACACATGGCTGCTGTGAACTAAGATCTTCTAGTCACATGGCTGCTGTGAACTAAGATCTTCTAGTCACATGACCGCTGTGAACTAAGATCTTCCAGTGACATGGCTACTGTGAACTAAGATCTTCTAGACACATGGCTGCTGTGAACTAAGATCTTCTAGTCACATGGCTGCTGGGAACTAAGATCTTCTAGTCACATGACTGCTGGGAACTAACATCTTCTAGTCACATGGCTGCTGTGAACTAAGATCTTCTAGTCACCTGACTGCTGGGAACTAACATCTTCTAGTCACATGGCTGCTGTGAACTAATATCTTCTATTCACATGGCCGCTGTGAACTAAGATCTTCTAGTCACATGGCTGCTGTGAACTAACATCTTCTAGTCCCATGGCCGCTGTGAACTAAGATCTTATAGTCACATGGCTGTTGTGAACTAAGATCTTCTAGTCACATGGCCGCTGTGAACTAAGATCTTCTATACACATGGCTGCTGTGAGCTAAGATCTTCTAGACACATTGCCGCTGTGAACTAAGATCTTCTAGTCATATGGCTGCTGTGAACTAAGATCTTCTAGTCACATTGTTGCTGTGAACTAAGATCTTCTAGACACATGGCTGCTGTGAACTAAGATCTTCTAGACACATAGCTGCTGTGAGCTAAGATCTTCTAGACACATGGCCGCTGTGAACTAAGATCTTCTAGTCACATGGCTGCTGGGAACTAACATCTTCTAGACACATGGCTGCTGTGAACTAAGATCTTCTAGACACATAGCTGCTGTGAGCTAAGATCTTCTAGACACATGGCCGCTGTGAACTAAGATCTTCTAGTCACATGGCTGCTGTGAACTAAGATCTTCTAGTCACATGGCTGCTGGGAACTAAGATCTTCTAGTCACATGGCTGCTGTGAACTAAGATCTTCTAGACACCTGGCTGCTGTGAACTAAGATCTTCTAGACACATGGCTGCTGTGAACTAAGATCTTCTAATCCCATGGCTGCTGTGAACTAACATCTTTTAGTCACATGGCTGTTGTGAACTAAGATCTTCTAGTCACATGGCTGCTGTGAACTAAGATCTTCTAGTCACATGGCTGCTGTGAACTAAGATCTTCTAGTCACATGGCCGCTGTGAACTAAGATCTTCTAATCCATACCCTGTGTAACTGATAATTGTATTTGTCCACAAACTTCTGTCTTGTTTGTTCTCTAATTTTTCGTTTCTGATGCAGATATTCTTCCATGCCATTACGTCAGTGTCTCTTATCCATGCCTTTAATGTGTAGTGGGCATATAGTGTAAGACTGATACTATTTTAGACCAATTGGCACTTGGTAAGTGATGTGGTCAGCACCATTCTGGTCACCTTTACTTCCCAGTACCCTGTCTGGTACTCATTTAAGGCTGGGTCAAACTGGAAGCCAAGGTTATGTTTTTTTAAATCTGACTTGATGGTGATTTGAACAGTGACCTTCAGATTTGCAGGCGAGAGTCTAGTCACTACACTATGACTGTTTGTAGTTGTCACTCAGTAGACGATGGCTGTAGTGTATCCACTGCTAACTATGAAAATATTACCTGGTGATACCCCAGTCTCTTCTATGGTGCGACTCTCATAACACTGTCTGAAAGCCAGGAGAACGAGTTGTTCTAAACCACCCACCACTGAAATCAAACTCTGATAAACATTGACGATCGCAGATAGTAGCTGACACAACTGTCATCGTGAAGTGAGTTGAGTTGAGTCAAGAATTGACATCACAGAACTTTGGGCATTCCCATGTGTACTCCGTCCACATCTTCAACAGCCAGCATAGAGTTCCAATACTGACAGTACCGGTCACAATCTGGTTATATGTCCGTCTTGTCTTGCCTCTGAGTGTAATGAGCCGGCCAGATCCTCCGGTTAAACCCAGGTGCCCTATTCTGTCTAGGCCATGATAATCTTGTTTCTCTACTGATTCCGTTGCTTGTTCCCAAAGGGCCTTGATCACATCTGCCTTGTCATGAATCAGTTCGCCACACAGTGGTGCAGATCCAGCCAATCTGTCTGCCTGTTCATTACCCACTACGCCGGCATAGCCTGGAGAAAAGATCCAAAGCATGCTCACTACCCATGACCTTTCCAGTGAAGCTTGCCACTCTGCTTAAAGCATCCCTGTCTTCACCTTTTTCAGCATGCTTTCAGAGTCTGTTACAATC